TTATATTTATTTTAATCTCTATACATTCAAGATTAATATCAAAGTACATAATTCTTTAGGTAATAACTGGTTATGGAAACAATTGCAATTTTCGAAGACATTACTTTTCAGACCTAAAAGTTGTGAAAACACCAAAGTTTGTTTATTGATTACAAAGAATCTAAATCAGTTACGTACTTACATTTACATCTATTTTAATCTATATACATTCTATATTAATATACGTGCTCATAGTGCTTTAGGGAATTACTGGTTATGCAAATAATGGCTATTTTCGAAGACGTTACTTTTCAGACTTAAAAGTTGTGAAAACACCAAAGTTTATTTAATGATTACAAAGAAACTAAAGCAGTTACGTACATATATTTAGATTTATTTTAATCTCTATAGATTCAAGATTAATATCCGTGCACATAATTTTTTATTCAATAATTGGTTATGGAAAAAATTGCAATTTTCGAAGACGTTATTTTTCAGACTTAAAAGTTGTTAAAACGCCAAAGTTTGTTCATTGATTGCAAAGAAGCTACAGCAGTTTCGTACTTATATTTACATTTATTTTAATCTCTATATATTCAAAATTAATACAGGTACTCATAATGATTTGGGGAATAAATTGTTATGCAAATAATGGCAATTTTCGAAGACATTACTTTTCAGACCTAAAAATTGTGAAAACACCAAAGTTTGTTCATTGATCACAAAGAAGCTAAAGCAGTTACGTATTTATATTTACATTTATTTTAATCTCTATACATTCAACATTAATATCCATGCACATAATTCTCTAGGGAGTAACTGGTTATGGAAACAATTGCAAGTTTCGCAGACGTTACTTTTCAGACTTAAAAGTTGTGAAAAAGACAAAGTTTGTTCATTGATTACAAAGAAGCTAAAGCAGCTACGTACTTATATCTGCATCTATTTTAATCACTATACATTCAAGTTTAATATCAATGCACATAATTTTTTAGGGAGTAACTGGTTATGTAAATAATAGCAAGTTTCCAAGACGTTACTTTTCAGACCTAAAAGTTGTCAAAACACCAAACTTTGTTCATTGATTATAAATAAGCTAAAACACCTACATACTAATATTTATGCCCATTTTAATCTATGTAGATTATAGAACAATTTTCAGGTTCTGATTTTTTTCTGGGAGCAAATGATTATGAAAGTACAAACAATTTTCGAAGACGTTATTTTTTAGACCTGAAAGTTGTCAAACACCAAAGTTTATATTTTTAATTACAAAAATGCTAAAACTGTTATATACTTATATTTACATTTATTTTAATCTCTATAGATTTAAGATTGATATAAATTTAAAAATTTCTTCAGAGAACTATTTCTTATCAAAATACAGACAATTTTCGAAAACATTTTTTTGTTCAATCTAAAGTTATCAAACACCAAAGTTTGTTTATTGATAATAATGATGCTAAAACAACTATATACTAATATTTATGCTCACTTTGATCTACGTAGATTTAAGAACAATTTTCACATTCTGGTTCCTACTGGGAGTAAATGATTATGAAAATACAGGCAATTTTCGAAGACGTTTTGAAACCTAAAAGTTGTCCAAACACCAAAGTTATTTTTTTTAATAACATATAAACTAAAGCAGTTACACACTTACATTTACACTAATTTCAAACTCTACAGATTTAAGTTTAATTTTCATATTCAGATTTTTTCTGGAAATAAATGATTATAAAAATAAACGCAATTTTCTATAACAGCAATGTCAACTTTTAATTCCAATAATTTTATTTATTTATAGAATTAATTGAAAAATAACTTTATATATGTTACGATTACATAAATAAGGCTTTATTGTTACTTTTGTAATGAGAATTCTTAGCTAATTATAATTAATGACTGAAATATACCAATTTTTTGTAATGTTATTGAAAACTTTCAAAAAGTAAAAAACTTTGTACACCTCATAATGAGTCTTAAATTGTGCATATTAACAGTTGTTATGTAATTTTAATTAATGATAAATTTCTTTTCTTATACCAATTTTTATTAATCATGCTGGATTTTGCATATAGAAAAAGTTAATGAAAATTAGGGCTTAAATATAATTATTTCAAATAATTTCCATTGCACACAACTAGATCAATATTGTGTGTCAATATTGTATATATATATGAGACATACATATGTTTATTACTGACTGAATGGATTGCTGGAATTTCCTGTTCAGGATACGGGCGCTCGCGATTTGAATTGCAAAATCGAAACGAACATTTTTCCACCCGATCCGAACGAGATTTTCAAAATTATATTTGCTAATGCGGTGCATTACGGTTGCGACTTCCCTCTCCTTCCATTAAACACAATTTATACAAAGATTTATCCTTGTTTCTCTAATGGAAGTGATAATAGTTAAGGACTCTGTTCAGACCTATCCCCCTATGATGACAGTGAAAGGAACCTTGCTCTTCGGATGGGGCGGCGTCTCTCTATAATGCAACTTGCACATACAAGATTTGCAAGACTAGGGGGGACCTATATATACCTTCGAGGTGGTTAACTCTAGGTATACAGTCCACAGTCCGAGAAAACAGTCCTAGTGCTCCTATCTAGGAGGTTCGAACAGATCTATTTTTTATTGAGGAAATTTACAACTTTTTGATAAAGCAACATGAGATTCTTCGTAAGTATACATTTATTATATTAAATATAACGAAAATTTACTTAAAATGTAATTATTAATATCAATATCAATTTGAAGTTTAAAAAAAAAATGTTAGTAAAAAAAAATGATTTCTAATTTACAAAATCAATTGAAACAAGATTAATAATAATATTAAAGGTGTAATTGTGAATAAATATGTAGAAATTATTTCAATTTATAAATTTATCAAAAAAAAATTAGATACAATTGATAAAAAAGTGGCGAAATTTGAATTGAAATATTAAGAAAACAAGATAATTTCAACTAACTTTCATTTATGAAGAAATTATATAAGAATTTACAAAATAAAGTCAAACAAATCAAGAATTTAAAAGATATTTTGATGATTTTTAAAAGTACTCAATTTTTGCTTAATTTATATGAAATTAAAAAAAAAATAATTGCAATGGAAATCAGTTAATTTTTGTATGAAATAGTTATTAAAATGTATGAAAAACTAAGGTTGGTTTTCTTCTAAAACAATAATGTAATATATAAAATCTTACTCAATCATTTTCAGGACTTTTTTCATAAAAATTACATCATTTTGTTGTATAATCTATAAGAAATTACGTTACAATGAAGAAATATATAAAAAATTAGATTTTAATATAAAAAGTTCTCAAAAAAGAAATGAGTAAAACTAAAAAAATAGTTTATATAAAAAAAAAAGTTTGATATAATCTTACTCAATCATTTTCAGGACTTATTTAATAAAAATTACATCATTTTGTTGCATAATCTATAAGAAATTACGTTACAATCAAGAAATATATAAAAAATTAGATTTTAGTAAAAAAAAATGAATAAAACTAAAGAATTAGCATTTTTGTTTCACAAATCATTTGTTAATTGTAATCTATAAGCAAATCTACGTACTTTTATACTTTATGAATTGTTTTCTGTAAATTTGCTGATTTTTGAAATAGAAATTGACTCCTAACAGTTTTTTTTGCTTATAAAAAATGTAATATAAAATCTTACTCAACAATTTTCAAGATTTGTTTCATGAAAATTACATCATTTTATCACATAAACTATATAAGAAATTACGTTACAAATAAAAAAATAAATTGAAAATTAGATTTTAGTAAAAAAAAATGAGTAAAACTAAAGAATTAGTTTAGATAAAAAAAAAGTTTGATTTCATTTCTAAATTATATTTAAAATCTTAATCTGTATTTCTTTTTTACAAATCATTTGTTAATTTCAATCTATAAGCAAATCTACGTACTTTCTTTATGAACTATTTTCCGTAAATTTGCTTCTAACAGTTTTTGCTTAATTTATAAAAAAAATATAATATAAAATAATACTCAACAATTTTCGAGACTTTTTCATGAAAATTACATCATTTTAGCACATAAACTATATAAGAAATTACGTTAAAAATTACATTTTAATAGTTTGATTTTATTACTAAATTATATATAAAATCTAAGTCTGCACTTGTTTAGAAATTATTTGTTAATTGTAACGTGTTTCAAGCAAATCTACGTTCTTTCTCTATAAACTATTTTATGTAAATGCTCAAGGACGTAAAATATCAGCAATGCCATTTAGACTAATCTTTCAGTTTGTTTTGATCGATGCTAAATAGATATTGAATCAAGCGAAACGCGTTTCTCTGCATTTTTCCCGTCTGCGGCGTTACGAAAGGAGAACGTGCAAGAAAACCTCATAAAAAAAAAAAAAAGAAAAAAGGGAAAAGAAAGAAAGAGTAGAAGTAATTAAAGCGCTTTGAAGGTTGCTGCAGTTATTGTCCTCACCTCATGCAAGGAAATAAATCAATCGTAAGCCAATTCCGCCTTTAAAGTAATCATGCAATGGGACCAAGTGCGATATATGTAATGAATAAATGATTGGAGCAATTAGCGAAAGAAATATTAAAGCGAATTTTCCGCGTGGGAAATTGCAAATTGTATGGGCGATGGCGGTTGCGCAATGATCGATTATGTTGATTTTTCAGGTGTTGATTTCTTGCGTGCTCGCTGTAGCTTCTGCGGCATGGAACCAGCCACCACCAGGTGGTTACCACATTCCTCAGATCACCTCCGCCGGTGTCCCATTGGAAACGCCGGAAGTGCAGGCGGCTAAAGCCGCGCATTTCGCCGCTTTCCGAGGCGTCAACCCTGTTGCTCCTCAGCAATCTTATCAAGGGCAGAATAATAACAACAACAACGGCGAAACGAACTACGAGAATGTAAGATATTATGGCCCTCACGCCTACCAAACCACCAACGGAGCTGCTAAGGTTTCCACCGGTGGAGTACCTCTGGACACCCCCGAAGTCCAAGCGGCGAAGAACAACCACTTCGGATTGTTCAGTCAGGCTCTGTCTCGCAACGCTCAGCACGCCGTTCCGCACTACAGGAGACGCAGAGGAATCTACGGAGCGCCGTGGGCTTACGGACATCACGTCCCATTGATCACTGCCAACGGTGTCCCATTGGACACCCCAGAAGTTCAACAGGCTAAGGCTGCCCATTTCGCTGCTCACGCTAACGCCGGAGGATTCTTGGGCGGTTACGGTGTCCACGCCGGAGGATTCTTGGGTGGTTTCGGTGCTCCCATCCATCCAATTGCTGGATTCTACGGATTGAACCATGACGGTCGTCCTTTGGACACTCCAGAAGTCGCCCACGCCAAGGCCGCTCATCACGCGGCTTTCAATCAGGCCGCAGCTTTGAACGGAGTCGTCGGTGGTCATCTCGCTTACGGTTTGGGACACGTTCCTGCCGTTCCTGCTGACACCCCTGAAGTGGCTCACGCCAAGGCCGCTCATCTTGCAGCTCACGCAGCAGCCAGCCACCACTACTAAAAACAAAGGAAAAAACAACATTTTTTTTTTCAAATCTCTCTCTTCGCGCAACTTCTTGAATACATATATTTTCTTATCTTTTTTTACTTACACCAGAGACTGTTCAAACTTCTTGTTGACGCACTTGAAAGAAGGGAGGGAATCTGCGAAGCTCGATTTTTTTTTTAACCATTTTATATGAACGTTACCCAAACCATGTGTATATAATATATATAATGTATTGAAAAAAAAATAAAAAAAAAAATATGATCTACAAAGTGTCTATTTACATAATAGTTGTATCATTAGATGCGCTATTGAAACCTGATTCTTATGTATTAATAAAATGTAGCAAGTGAATCAAAAAATTGGATTTTTTTCAACATTTAAACAGAAATACAAATCAATAATAGCGTAGAATACAAATTTGTTACTAGGAAGCTCTAAAAATTTATCTTTAATTTGTATATAAATATATCTAATTAATATACGTAGTTTTTGTGTAATTAAATAAAAGGTGCAGAGATTAAATTGATTAAAAAAATCGTTATATTTCTATCAATATTTAATACATAATCATCATTATTATATCAAAAGATGCGCAACAGAATACCTTTTCTTAATTAATAATAAAATATAGAAGAAACTTATATAGATTTAGACTTAACACAAAAAAAAATCAAACTAGCAATGAGTTTTTTTTTCACTCAATTTTGACAGTTAATAACGGAATATCTACGTTATCTTTAAATTTTATTATAGGCTCATTAGAAAGACTACAGCCTTATCTTTAATTAAAATTTTAAATGATTGATTTAACAATCTTAGTTATCGAAGTATTTAATAAAAAATGACGATACTTTTTTCAAAATTAAAAATAAGACATTCTTTTTATTAACACTACCTTATTACAAATATGTTGGTGGACTTATTAAAAAGCCTATAGTTTTATCTTTAATAAACATTTTAAATTATTCAACTAGAATTAATAGTTAAAGAACAATTAAATTAAAAGTGATGATACCTTTATTTCAAGTCGTATTTTTAACTCAATTTTGAGAGCAAATAATGAAATAACTACATTATCTACAAATCTATTTAAAGGCTCATTGAAAAGGCTATTATTTTATATTTAATTGCAATTTTCAAAGATTCTCTTAATATTGTTAGTTATCGAATGATTGAATAAAATGTGACGACCCTTTTTTTTACACAATAAATAAGTTATCTACAAATCTAGTCTTGGGCTCATTTGAAAGACTGTAGTCTTACCTTTAATTAAAATTTTAAAAGATTCCTCTAACATTCTTAGTTAATTTAATAATAGATGATTATACTTTTCAATATTTAAATACGATATTTTGCAAATCTGTTTGTAGGCTCATCGGAAAGGCTATAGCTTTATCTTTACTCTTTAATTATAATTTTACAATTAGTTAATTAACAATCTTAATTATCGAACAATTAAATGGAATGTGAAGATACTTTTTTTCCATACAATTTAACAGCTAATAACAGAATAACTACATTACCTACAAATCTGATCGTGGGCTCATTAGAAAGCCAATAGTCTTAATTTTATTATAGTTGTAAATGATTCAGCTAACTGTTTAAGTTAACAAACAATTAAATTAAAAATAATTGTAGTTACAAATGATTCAACTAACTGTTTAACTTAACGAATAATTAAATAAAATGTAATGATACGTTTTTTTCAAAAACCGAATTTTTTATCCCAAATTTAACAGTTAATAATGGAATAATTCAGCTGTTTACAAATATTGTTCTTGGCTCATTATAAAAATCAGGGTTTCCAAAACTATATTCCGTGGAACGCTGGTGTTCCGTGAAAACAAAATAAACAAGATGTTATGTGAAAATTTCAGGATTTACGAAGTGTTCCATTGCAGGACAACTTTGGGAAACACTGGTAAAGACTATAGAGTTATCTTTAATTAAAATTTTGAAAGATTCATCTAAGATTCTTAATTATCGAAGAGTTTTATTAAATTGATGATGATACTTTTTTTCCAACAAATAAATACGATATTTTGACCACCAACAACGGAATTACTAAGTTATCTGTAAATCTTTTTGTACGCTCATCGGAAAGGCTATAGCTTTATCTTTACTCTTAACTTACAATTTTATAATTAGTTAATTAACAATCTTAATAATCGAACAATTAAAGGGAATGTGAAGATCCTTTTTTTCATATAATTTAACAGCTAAGAACGGAATAACTATACTATCTACAAATCTGATCGTAGGCTCATTAGAAAGACAATAGCCTTAATTATAGTTGTAAATGATTCAAGTAACTGTTTAAGTTAACGAACAATTAAATAAAAAATAATGATACTTTTTTTTCAAAAACCGTACTTTTTATCCCTAATTTAACAGCTGATAATGGAATAACTAAGCTGTGTACAAATATTGTTGTTGGCTCATTGTAAAGACCAGGGTTTCCTAAACTATGTTCCGTGGAATGCCGGTGTTCTGTGAAAACCTGGAATGAAGTAATTACTAAGTAAATAATGAAGGTTTTTTCTCTTTTTTTTTTAAATTATATCAATTATATTTTGTTATCTACCCTACAAATTAAACAAGGTGTTACGTGCAAATTTCAGGATTTACGAAGTATTCCGTTGCAGGAGAAGTTTGAGAAACATTGGTATTACCTTTAATTTTCATTTTAAATTATTTATCTAATTTCATCAGAACAATTAAATAAAATGTGAGAAGAAAACTCGTGTTTTATTACTCAAGTTTATCAGCTTGTAACACAAGAATAATAACACTTATATCTGTAATGAGAACATTTTCTAAGATTATAAACAGAAAATCAAAGGAATTTATAACTGAAGCATTTGCATTTCTCGTAGGCAAAACCATTTACGTCCCGATGAATAACTATGATATTTTCTTCACGACAAACATGGAATTTCGCCCGAAGAGCTTGTCGATCTTGAAATTACTTATGTGTCTGTAATCTCAGCAGATAAATTGGAATTATTAATTGAAAATTTTTGTTTTTTGGTATTCCGAACGTGCGTTTTAGAAACCCGTTTTTGCGATAATATTTCGATCCATATAATAACAACAACAACATCAATGGAAAACAAGCAAATAAATAAGACTAAATGTAAGAATTTCTTGTACGGCGTTCGCCTTGATTGGTATTCAGCCTTTAAAAACGAAGGAATGGAAACGTTTTGCGTCTCGCTGGAGGAAAAACACGTTTCGTAAATATTATCATTACCTGCAAATTGCGACACTTAAAATTTAATTATAACATAATCTTTTATAGAAATTTTCACTTTGCACATATAATCAATGTTAATTTTTTGCTCAATCTCAAGAACAACTATTAATACTTGTCGTTGTAGCTTAATTGAATATTTACATACAAAAATCGTACTGATTTCAATAATATAAGAAATTATTGATTTTTTTGTAATAATTTTTGTAATAAATTAAGAATAAATGGATCAATTATAGAACTTCTTATGTAACAATGAAATAGATAAAAGAAAGTTTTAAAATGTTCAAGTAAATAAAAAAAAATGTAATAAAATTTTAATTAAAAAAAAATAAACTTGAAATTTTTTCTCAAAAACTAATAAAAATATTAAAATTTTATATACAACTAAATAGTTTATTGTTGTAAATTGAATTTAAGTATAAAGATTTTTTATTTCTTCAAAAAATAAGGTAAAATAGAAGCAAATTTACATATAAAAATTGAAGTAATAAAATTTGCATTTCACTGACATAATTTTTTAAAAAAAGTTGTAAAATTACAGATAAAATCAAAATTTCATAATGATTCATAGATCATAAAGCACGTGTAATGGATTAGAACATCCGGAATTCGAAGAACGAAATATTAATTTTGCAATTTTTTGCTGCATTTCATAGGAAACTCAACGCATTGCAATATAATTACATTCCGCCTTCGAATTGCGCGCATTATCCGCGAATAGCTTACTAATTGAGTCCGTTAATTAGGCGCAGCGTACGTGCAGACGCCAGAGGTGCGTACAGGTAGGAACTTGATTGCCTTTACCAATAATGGTGATGAGGTGAACAACATCTTGAGGCATCTAGTTTTTCGGATGTCTGCAGCCTTGTCATTCTGCTCCTGTTCCCAACATCCTTGACTTTGGATCAATCTCAGTTCAAAAACATCTTAACATTTCATTCAAAGAGAAACAGATCAGAAATTAGTTTTAATTGTATTTAGTTAAGTGATTCTATAAGAAAAATACTTGAAATAGTTTCAAAATTATATTTATAATAAAAAAAAATGTTTCTCTTATGTAATTAGCAATGAATTTATTGAATAAATCAATGAACATTATTACGAAAAATTGAATGAAAATAATATTTATTATACAATTTGTAACATATTTTCTCTAAACATCCTTGACTTTGGATTAATATTAGTTCAAAAACATCTTAAATCTTAACTTCTGACAAACAGATCAAAAATTAGTTCTAATTGTATTTTGTTAAGAGATTTTATAACAAAAATTATTGAATTAGTTTAAAAATTATACTTATAATAAAAAAAATGTTTCTCTTATGTAATTAGCAATGAATTTATTTAATAAATCAATGAAAATTATTACAAAAAATTGAATGAAAATAATATTTTTTGAAACAATTTATTATACAATTTGTAACATATTTTCTCTAATAAACATCATCTTGAGGCATCTAGTTTTTCGGATGTCTGCAGCCTTGTATTTCTGCTCTTGTTCCCAACATCCTTGACTTTGTATCAATCTTAGTTCAAAAACATCTTAAATCTTAACTTCTTTCAAAGAGAAACAGATCAGAAATTAGTTCTAATTGTATTTTGTTAAGAGATTTTATAACAAAAATACTTGAATTAGTTTAAAAATTATACTTATTAGAACAAATTGTTTATATTATGTAATTAGCAATGAATTTATTTAATAAATCAAAGAAAATTATTTTTTTTTACAAAACGAAATAAGAAATAAGAATAAGAATAAACAACAATTTTCTTTAATAATTTCTTACTGTTCTGTATTTGCAGATTCTTTTAACTTGTCTTCTTTTTGCAATCATTTACGCTGTGCAAGCGAATCCATGCAAAGTTCCATATTTCGACGCATCTCAAATCAAAGAATATAATCCATATTTCGATGCATCTCAAATCGAAGAATATAATCCGTAATTTGTTTGCGAAGAAAATCATAAATATTTGTATAATCTTATGTTTATGTAATAAATAAAAATGAATACGTAAATCAAATGAAAAGAATGTTTTAATACATTAATTCATCCCCTATTTGCGTGACTATCTGATAACAATTAAAAAAAAATCAATTTGTTATCTCAAAAATAAGCAAATTTCTAATGAATAAATATAAAGAAAAACCTTCAATTTTTGTATAACTGTAAACACATTTGTTATTTATTCTAATTTATTGTTTGAGTAGAATTGATAACAAAAAAAACGTAAATAAAGTATGAATAAACATGGAACAAATTTAGTTTAATTTGTTTATTTTTTGAAGCAATTATTATTAAATTTATATGTAAAATTTCAAAAAAATAAAACAAAAATCTAATGTTAATTAAAAATAGAAGAACAAAGAAGTGTTGTTTCTCAATTTATATGAAAATTTATCGTTTTTATTTCATAGCAATCTTCACTGATTTATTCAAAAAAATAATAATCTAATATTGAAAAATATAGACGAATTTTTTACTAATCTTTATAAAAATTAAAGAAATTTAAGTAAATACTTTTATTTAAGAGATTTTTTTACAAAATTATAAGATTTAGTTTCTAAATTTGAATTTTAAGAAAAAAATTTGTCTATTTTTTCATGAATTTAATTTAGTAAATCAATGAAAGTTATTACGAACATTTTTTAAACTTTTTAGTATGAATATGAAAAGATCAAATTTGCAACAATTTCGATCGAAATTGTTCTATCATTTACATTGATGTGTTTATTTTTTTGTATTAATAATTATCAAATTTATATGATAAATTACAAAAAATAAAACAAAAATCTAATGTTAATTAAAAATTGAAGAACAAAGAAGTGTTATTTCTCAATTTATATAAAAATTCATCATCATTCATTTCGTTTTTATTTTACATCAATCTTTACACTGATTTATTCAATCAATATTAATGTTTTTTGTAATTCACAACACTTAGAAGTAAATCATCTTGGTTAATTAGATGTAAATAAATTTACTGTATTTTTTTTCTTCTCTTTGACGCAAATTCGATTCGCTTCAAATAACTTAACGTTCCGATGAATTATTAATGGTTTCGGTTCTATAATTTATCCAGGAATTCGATGGAAAAAGAATAAAAAAATATATATGTATGGAATTACTGTATATTTGAGATTTCAATAAAACTGCAATTGAATAACTTATTATAAGCATTCCATTCATAAAAATAGTAATAAACATGTTTATTTCCAATTTATATACTAATTTTTATTAATAACACTTTTTTATCAGTACTTATTGTAATTATAACTTTATAATAAAAAAATTCTATAATTTTTTTAATCTTTCTCAAAGAAAATTATGGAAGAAAATAAATAATAGATTAATTATAAATTAATGCATGTAAATTTTAATTGACTGATCCATTATATAACATGAAAAGTACATAAAATTATGTAAATTTCTCAAGATGTTACAATAAAATTTTAGGAAAAAACTTGTTTTTAATCTGATTTTATTAACAACTAATTTATTTGAAATCTTGTTAAGTTTAGATATTTGATATCTACCTGTTGTTTTTTGCTGTTTCTTTTGAAGAATATATAAGGAAATTAATCACAGTGTTAATGATTATAAAAAAGTTTTTAATCTGATTTTATATAAAAAAAAGTTTATAGTTTAGTCTGCGTGTACGATTTGTTTATTTAATTGTTGCTTTTTATTGTTTTAAAGTAGTAGTAAGGAAATTAATCGTCTGTTAATGTTTATACAAAAATTAACAATTTTGAACAAAAAAAAATACTAGTTTTGAATTTGATTTAAAAATTGATTATTATCTAATCTCTTTTGGTTTTTGTTCACAATTTGTTTATCTAAATGTTATTTATTGTCTTTTTAAAGGATTAGTAAATTAATCGTCTGTTAATGTTTATAGAAAAAATAACAATTTTGAACAAAATAAAAGTAGTTTTGGATTTGATTTAAAAAATGTATATTTTCTAATCTCGTTTTGTTTCTGTTAACAATTTGTTTATATAACTATTATTTGTTGTTCTTTTAAAGGATTAGTAAGGATATTAATAGTCTGTTAATGCTTAAACAAGAAAATTACAATTTTGAACAAAAAAAAACTACTTTTGGATTTGATTTAAAAAATGTATATTTTGTAAACTTGATAGTTTCTATTCAAGATTTGTTTATCTAACTGTTGTTTGTTATAGTTTTAAAGGATTAGTAAGGAAATTAATTATCTATTAATGCTTAAACAAAAAAATATCAATTTTGAACAAAAAAAAAAACATGTTTTGGATTTGATTTAAAAAATGTATATCTTCTAATCTTTTTTAGTTTTCATTCAAAATTTGTTAATTTAAATGTTATTTATTGTCTTTTTAAGGAATTACTAAGGAAATTAATCGTCTGTTCATGTTTATTAGAAATAACAATTTTGAACAAGAAAAAAAGTAGTTTTGGATTTGAATTAAAAATTAATTATTTTCTATTCTCGTTTAGTTTCTGTTTGAAAATTTTGCTGTTATTAGTTGTCGTTTTAAGGATTAGTAAGAAAATTAATTGTCTGTTAATGTTTATAAAAAATAAATAACAATTTTAAACAAAATAAAAGTAGTTAAGGATTTGATTTAAAAAATGTTTATTTTTAATGTCATTTAGTTTATATTCATAATTTGCTTATATAACTGTTGTTTTTCGTAGTTTTAAAGGACTACAAAGGAAAATAATCGTCTGTTAATATTCATACAAAAAATATAACGATTTTGATTACAAGAAGTTTGGAAATTGATTAGATTAAAAAAAAATGTTTATTTCTAATCTCGTTTAATTTACTCTCACGCTTAGTTATCTAACTATTGTTTGTTGTTGTTTGGGAAATGAATATAATTATATTAAATTTATAATAAAATAAAACCAGTTTTAAATCGTATTTTGCTTAGTATTAGTATGTGATTGGTACTCTAAGTGTTGTTTGTTATTGTTGTTTGTTGTTAAAGGATCGATATGGAAATTAATCATGTATGAATGGTTGATGCGTGGTAATGGAATGCTGAAAAAATGCACTCGATGATCGCGAATTGATTTAGGTGAAAGGAACCTTGCACTTGTTAGGGCGTAGTCGTCGTGTTGCAATCAGTATATAAGCTGAGATGCGCAGCGGAGACGGCACAGTCTTCTTAACAGTCCTATCAAACAGGAGGTTAAACGCAACTCAAGATGCAATTATTCGTAAGATAAATATACAATTTGCTTAATTTGTTTCTATTAATTGATTTTTTTCTCTAATTGTCAGATTGTTTTCGCTTGTTCTTTGGTGGTGGCTTCCGCCGGATACGTAGCTCCAATCATCTATGGAGCTCAACATCTTCCTCTGATTGGAGCTGGCGGTGTACCAATTGATACACCTGAAGTGCAGCAGGCCAGAGCCGAGCATTTGGCTCTTAAAGTTCAAGCTCAAGTTCGTAACGGTGATTTAATTCCTTATGCAACTCATTATTACGGATTGATAGCTCATGATGGTCTTCCTTTGGACACGGCTGAAGTGGCCGCTGCTAAAGTCAAGCATTTCGCAGCTCACGCCGAAGCTTTAGCCAGAAACGGGCTTTTGTACCGTAAACGCCGTGGAATCTACGCTTACTCTCCTTACTACCATTACCCGATCATCGCCAACGGTTCTCCAGTAGAAACTCCAGAAGTACAACACGCTAAAGCCGCTCATTTCGCCGCTCACGCCGAAGCTAACGCTCGCAAAGGTCTTTATTACGCATCACCTTTGATCCACTACGCTCAGATCATCTCCAACGGAGTCCCAGAAGAAACACCAGAAGTCCAACAAGCCAAAATCGCCCATTTCGCAGCCAAAGCCGAAGCCGAAGCTCGCGCTCTAGGTTACCCCATCATCTCCAACGGTGTCCCAGTGGAAACCCCAGAAGTCCAGCAAGCCAAAATCGCCCATTTCGCAGCCAAAGCCGAAGCCGAATCTCGTGTTTCTGGATTAATCTCCAACGGCGCCCCAGAAGAAACCCCAGAAGTCAAAGAAGCCAAAGCCGCTCATTTCGCGGCTAAAGCCGAAGCCGAAGCTCGCAACTCTATCCCAGAACTTCCACAAGCTCCAGAGGATACGCAAGAAGTGCAAGAAGCCAAGATCGCTCATTTCGCTGCTAAAGCTGAAGCTCAAGCTCGCGCCGGAATCGTTGGACCTTTGATCTACGCCGCTCAGCATTATCCGATCATCGTGGATGGTGTTCCAGTCGAAACGCCGGAAGTTCAACACGCCAAGGCTCTGCACTTCGCGGCTCACGCCAATGCCGCCCTTCATTAAGCCATCATCAATTTACTAATAGTCTCTTCTATATTAGAACAAACACAAAAGAAAACACTAATCAATTCTGAGGCTGTCCATTTCGTCACCAGAGTTTCTCGAAGCGGTAGCATCTACCGCAAATCCTCCGGATAGCTGGGATCCATTTATTTTTTTTTTTATATATGTATATCTTGTAATAATAATTTAAAATAATAATAAAAAAAATATTAACAAGCAAAATTTTTCTTCATTTTATAATTATATAATAAGCAATCTTCTATATCAAATTATACACAATTTGATATAAATTTCATTAAGATTTCTCTACTAATAATTGTGGTATGATGATTTATATATTAGTTTCGTTATTTACTTTTTATTCAAGTTTTGGATTTGAATTAAAAAATGTATATTTTCTAAACTTGATAGTTTCTGTTCAAGATTTGTTTATCTAACTGTTGTTTGTTATTGTTTTAAAGGCTTAGTAAGGAAATTATTTATCTGTTAAAGTTTATTAAAAAAATATAAATTTTGAACAGAATGAAAAATATTAACAAGCAAAATTTTTCTTCATTTTATAATTATATAATAAGCGATCTTCTATTTCAAATTGTACATAATTTGATATAACTTTCATTAAAATTTCTCTACTAATAATTGAGGTAAGATGATTCATATATTAGTTTCGTTCTTTACTTTTTATTCGAGTTTTGGATTTGATTTAAAAAATGTATATTTTCTAAACTTAATAGTTTCTGTTCAAGATTTGTTTATATAACTGTTGTTTATTATTGTTTTAAAGGATTAGTAAGGAAATTATTTATCTGTTAAAGTTTATTAAAAAAATATAAATTTTTAACAGAAAAAAAAACTAGTTTTGGATTTGTTTTAAAAATTAATTATTTTCTAATCTCGTTTAGTTTCCATCTCGTTTTTAATCCATTTATTTTTTTATTATATATGTATATCTTGTTGTAATAATAATTTAAAATAATAATAAAAAAAAATATTAACAAGCAAAATTTTTCTTCATTTTATAATTATATAATAAGCAATCTTCTATTTCAAATTATACATAATTTGATATAACTTTCATTATGATTTCTGTACTAATAATTGAGGTAATATGATTTATATATTAGTTTCGTTCTTTACTTTTTATTCAAGTTTTGGATTTGAATTAAAAAATGTATATTTTCTAAACTTGATAGTTTCTGTTCAAGATTTGTTTATCTAACTGTTGTTTCTTATTGTTTTAAAGGATTAGTAAGGAAATTATTTATCTGTTAAAGTTTATTAAAAAAATATAAATTTTGAACAGAAAAAACTGGTTTTAGATTTGTTTTAAAAATTAATTATTTTCTAATCTCGTTTAGTTTCCATCTCGTTTTTAATCCATTTATTTTTTTTATATATGTATATCTTGTTGTAATAATAATTTAAAATAATAATAAAAAAAAATGTTAACAAGCAAAATTTTTCTTCATTTTATAATTATATAATAAGCGATCTTCTATTTCAAATTGTACATAATTTCATATAACTTTCATTAAAATTTCTCTACTAATAATTGTGATATGATGATTCATATATTGGTTTCGTTCTTTACTTTTTATTCGAGTTTTGGATTTGATTTAAAAA